TGCAACACCCAAGCAACAAATGCAAGGCAACTAACACCCTAAAACCCTTAAACCCTTAAACCCTTAAACCCTTAAACCCTTAAACCCTTAAACCCTTAAACCCTAAGCCCAAAAACCCAAGCCCTAAAATTTGGGGAGGTGCCTCAGTGCCTCGGCCCCCTGCCTTTGTTTGCGAACTGCTCCATAAACCTCTAAGCCCTGAAGGTTCAGGGTTCAGGGTTCAGGCTTTAAGGTTCAGGGTTTGGGGTTTAGGGTTTGGGGTTTAGGGTTTTTCGGGTTTAGGGTTTAGGGTTTAGGGTTTAGGGTTAGGGGAACATTCTTCCTGGATGCCAGGTGCCAGAGGCTCAACTGCTACACGGGAGACGAGAAGATCGAGCGGGCCCGGGGGTCTACTCAGAGGGTTCTTAAGAGAGTCTCAGTGTTTAGGGTTTGGGGTTTTGGGGTTTAGGGTTTAGGGTTTGGGGTTTAGGGTTTAGGGTTTAGGGTTTAGGGTTGGGGGGGGGTTTCATGGGGGGTAGGTACCTAGGGAACCTCAGGGAAGCTTAGGGAGCCTTAGGGAGTAGTGGGGAGTACTAGGGGACCTGGGGTTACATGCCCGCCTTGAAAACCCCCCTCTATTAAGAACCTTGCGTTCGGCGTTTGCTTGACAGGGAGCCCGAGTCAAACGCGAGGCTCAAGCCCCCCTAAACCCCGAACCCTGAACCCTAACTCTGAACCCCTAGACAGTGCCAACACTCAGCCAACATGTGGGAGCTGCGATGGGTGCAGATCACTTTCACAACCTTAGGTCCATCTTGAGGAAGTGCGTTTGACAGACATTCTACCATTCGAGGTACCTGTTAGGGTCTAGGGTTTAGGGTTTAGGGTTTCAAGCACCCGCCTGTCTGCTACATGTTCGGCATTTTACCTACAATGACCAACTACAAACCCTAGATGACACCTGGTCGCGCGAACTTGCATGAGAGCCACTCCCTCTATCGAGTGTTCAGCACCTGAAGATTGAGGCGTTTAGGGTTTAGGGTTTAGGGTTTAGGGTTTAGGGTTTAGGGTTTAGGGTTTCTATAACCAACCCTGAACCTTGCCTGACAGGCCATAGACAAGCTCAAGATCCGCCAGCACAACATGTGCCATGCGGTGGGGGCGCCTAAGTCGGCCAGTGCGTTGGGAGGCGTCGAGGGTCCCAGGAGGAGCCTGGCAATAAAAAGTGTGCTCTTATTTAAAGGGAAGAGCAATTTGAGGGAACCTGAACCCTACAAAAAGTGAAGAAGGGCCTACTCCTGGGTTTCCTGAAGGTTTAGGGTTTAGGGTTTAGGGCTTAGGGTTTAGGGTTTAGGGTTTCGGGATTAGGGTTTAGGGTTCGGGGTTTAGGGTTTCGGGTTTAGGGTTTTCCTTAAAAAAAATTGGGTTCTTGACTGGTGTCCGTGCACCAGTCTGTTGGGGCGTTTGCCCGTTGTTGCCGCGGCTGGTTCTTCTTGGTTCGCTGGCCCTACCAACCCTAACAATAAGTCGATGCAGTCTGTGCCCCTTTACCAACCGTAGCAGCCAGGAACCATGATGAACCATGAACCAGACAAAGATCTGACTGTTCTGTTTAAGCTTCGTTGGTCATAACTTGCGGGCTAATTCTTGCAAATTCTTTCTTGGCCGTGCATGAATGTTGCATCAAATTAGTATTCTCGCGCCGACTTCAAGCCCTAAACCCTAAAACCCTGAACCCGAGTTTTAAACTCTAAACCCTGCATTGTTGCATCTCAGTGTTCAGACTTGTGCTTATTAGGATGTGTAGGGTTCAAACCCGTTTTCGTAAGTTCCTGTTTGTTTAGGGCAGCTAAACAGGGCCCTTAATTTAGTCTAACTCCCATTCCGCTCTAAACCCTGAAGCCTGAACCCTAAACGGTCTTGAGGATGAATAAGCATTCTATGTGATATCGACATGAACTTACAAAGTTGTTTGTCTAAACAGCTGACAAGCCGAGCTGAAGTAGATTAATCCGAAGCGGCCACAAAAGTCCCAAGGAACACACAAACGCCCCAGCAGGCCCCAAAAAAGTCCCCAGAAGCCCCCCCCCCCCCCCACTTCCCAAAGCCCCCAGGAGCCCAAAACCCTAAAACCCTAAAACCCTAAAACCCTAAAACCCTAAAACCCTAAACCCTAAAACCCTAAAACCCTAAAGCCCTAAAACCCTAAAACCCTAAACCCCAAGCCCCCAAGAGCCCCCAGAAGCCCCCAAGAGCCAAGAGCCCCCCGAAGATCCCGGCAGGCCCGGCAAGCAAAAAGCAAAACTCGCCCAAGGGTTTAGGGTTTAGGGTTGCAAAGCCAAAACAACCATTGTTGCCTAAAACTTTCGCCCACAAACTCCAGACACAAACCCTGTACAATTTTAAAAATAGCCTCAAGACCCCTAACCTGCCAAGTGCCCCCCCCCGAGGTAGACGAGCTGCTCAAGCAGGAGGAGGCACGATCTTGGACGGATTGGGGGCCCCTAGGTTTCGGGTTTCTCAGGTCAAGCAGCATTCTTGCAGAAAGTTCAGTTTGGGTATATAGCCACAGGGAAAGCTGCCTTACTATGCCAGGAGAAGAGAAGGCAAGGATTGTAACTAACGCGGTCGTTGTTGTACTTGAGAACTGCCCAACTTACAGTGCCTCATCAGAACCCCGAGTCCTGTACCTCCAAAACCTACAACTGCGACTCAGTGGCAAGGGTCTCTACTCCTAACCCCGGAACAAGATCAGCTTGGAGAGTTGGGTCGTTAATCCGCGTGCCCTGAACTGTGCACACTTTGCAGGCAGCCAATGGCGAGCCACCAGCGTTCGAAGGAGACTCCTTGCGTGCCCTTGGCAGACATTCATGTGTGCTGTGGTGGCGGAGTCTCGGGTGCGCGTCAGCGACATGCTAGAACTATAGGTTGTCCACTGTAGGGAGTGGTATCTCGTGTATTTCGAGTGGAACACTACTTCTTCCGATTCTTTCTGGTGCCGAACAAGCCCCCTGCACAGCAAATCCATGTTTCAGGGGCGAGTTGTGCATTGATTGCTCCAGGGTTTGAGGGTTCACGCCAACAAGTCTTCGACCAGCCAAGCCCTCAAGATCCTTCTGCCTTCGACAAGTGAAGTGGCAAGAGGTGTTACACGACTTATGAGGGCTTAGGGCTTGTCATGGTTGAAGCTTCAGGAGGTAGTGGGGTGGTAGGTAGGGGGTTTGGGGCTGATGAGGGGTTTACAGGGTTCAGGTCGAGTTTGGGGTTTATAGGAAGGGTTTGGATTCTAGGAGGTTCGCTAGTTAGAGTTAGAGCTGGGGGTTATAGGTAAGGTTCGGAGTTAGGGTTATAAGCTGCATGGGTAGGTACCACTGCGAAAGAAAGCAGGGTCTAGCTTTGTATGGGTACGTAGCCAGAGATGGTGTCAAAGTATGGAGTTACAACTTTCGGGTTCTGGCCTGGTTTAGCAGGTCTCAATTCTGCTTGGTGTCCAGCGACCATGCGACTATATCCCCCTTTATTTTTGTTTATAGAAAACCCAAGAGGATATTAGACAGAATCAGACATACGATTTTTATTAAGGTTCTAAGGGGGGTATATAGTATAGGCGATGCTTCGACTCGAATCAACAATCCCCAAGCCGATCGTTTCAGATGGGTAGTGGGCCCATACACCCCTTTATGTGGAAGCCATCCCTCGCCAGAGTTTTTGATATCCCTCTAAACCGAATACTCAGCATGCCCTAAACCCTAAACCCTAAACCCTAAACAGGTTCCACAGCTGGCGCCCTGGACCCATACCTGGCCACGAACTCAATTGGAGCTGCGACCCGGGGGGCTTTATGTTGAGGCCACGTGCCGACCATAACCTCCCAACTTCAGCCCCTTAAGCCCGAAACCCCAAAGCATTAAACCCGAACAACCGGAACCCCATATACTAGAACAAAAGACTTCAACCCTAATCCCAAACCCTGAAGCCCCCCTGAGCCCCTAAACCCTGAAGAGCCTACTACCGAACCCTTAAACTCAACCCAAAACCCAAAGCGCCCTAAAGCCTAGAAGGCCCCAACCCCTACTTGGAGGTTCAGGGTACTTAGTAACCAACTATAAGTGTAGTTATCACCCACTTATAAGCCCCTTAAGTACCCTAATAGGGTTATAATTGGGTTATAAGTACAGTCATTTTTGGGTTACTAAGTGCCATGAACCTCGAAGTAAACCGATATTCGCAATCCCGTCAACCCAGGAAGTCCCAAAGCCTCAGCCTAAAACCTGAAACCTGAACCTGAAACGTCACGCCCATACCTTAAACCCTGAACTATAAGCTGTAAACTACAACCCCCTAAACCCTAACCTTCAACCCTGAAATATAGTCCCCTAGACCCCGAACAATCGACGCTGAACGCTGAACCCCTAAGTCCAGACGAAAGCTTCAAATAAGCGAGCTGACCTTGCTTCCGGGTTGTGTCTGCTTTGCTGCTGCCGTCCGAGAGGCGATTTTTGTAGGGTTTAGGGCTTTTAGAACTTTGGTGTCGGATTTGCGGTTGAAGGTTTCTCCCTGAACCCTAAACCCAAAAAAAAAAACCTAAACCCTAAACCCTAAACCCCAAACCCTAAACCCTAAACCCTATAGGATCTATAGGGCAGGGTTTAGTTCTTCCGGTCTGGGGCTCTCAGGGCTCGGCGTAGTGTTTAGGGTTTAGGGTTTAGGGCAACTCTGATTGAAACATGGAGATACACTGCTTTTCCTTGCCAAAAGCATGGGAGGTTTTGAACGAAGCGGGTAGCAAAGAGCATTGCGTCCAAAACACATCACGCATAAGCCCAAACCTCGAGACCGCGACCTTTAGACCATTCTGTATAGGGCTTGTGGGGCTGCGCAGAGCACACGCTTAAGAATTAGGTGGAAGCTCCGCCTGAGAACCACCTCTTGCTGCCGCTCTGCGTCCGCCAGCTGATGAAGAGTTGCATTCGCGAGCTACCCTCTCGTGGCCCTCCCTCCATCATCTCTTCTGCCCCGCCATGAGCTTTCTTGCGCTCGATGTTGAGTGTGCCGCCACCGGGCGAGGGCACAACGATCGAGCGCCCTGCCGCGTGGCGGTGGTGGACTTCGATGGCGGCACGCTGCTGGATGAGATGGTGGCTGTGCCAGGCATGGTGAGCCCCCTGACCCCAATCACGGGCCTGACCCGTGACCAGATCCAGCGCGGCCGCCCGTACCACGACGTCGTGGCGGATGTCAGGGCACTCCTCGGCCCTCATGTGACCCTGGTTGGGCAACCTGGCCTGCTATTTTGTGAATGTAGGGGTCGGAATACTTACTCATATGATTCCCTCGTGGTCTCTTTCTAGTTCTACTCCAATAATCCCTCAACACCCTATTCGAATTACTATATAAGGCCGTTATATTGGGCTTGCTGAAACATGTCACCTTTGGTGGAGTCGTCCTTGAAGCATCTGTTACAATGAGCAGCAGATCGTAATGGCAACGGAGTTGTTGGAGAAGAACGAAAGAGCTGCAACAGAAGAAATGCCGGGAAGAAGGATGTTGAAGAAGATGAAGCAAGCGAAGTTTGAATGGACCAAGTTGTCCAAGCCGAATTTGAAGAATTGAGGGTGAACACCCAAAACCACCCGAGACAGCATAGGACTTAGGTGAGTTTTTGTTCAAGAGTTCTCGATTGCAAAATTGCAGCCTGGGAACCACGTTTCACAGTTCAAGTGGAATGGCCCAGGCAAGGGAGTGATAAAGAACGGCTTAAAGCAAAGTGTGCAAAGCGCAAAAGGACAGATAAGTTGAATGCAGTTTTGACAAGCAGAAGATTATGCTGCAAGACATAATGGAATGTAGTAAGAGACATTCTCTACTGCCACCAAGACCAAGACAGATGAAGATATTCAAGAAGACAATCTTGCAATTGCTGTGCCATGATATGGTTTATGGACGTGTGTTTTGCGTCGAGCTGACGATCTGACATTGGGCGTGTTTTTTCTCAAAATCGATAGTAACGCAATGGTGAAAAAAAACTACGCTGAGAAGAGTGCGGCTCCAATCGACCCAACACATGGCAACCAGGTTCAAGAAGGCAAAGATGCGTTTTTTCGATCTAGAGGCCTCCAAGCTGCCAGGTGTAGCCGCCAGGTTAGCGACAACCAGCAGTGTTCGGTCCTGTGTTCGATTTCGTGGACTGGCCCAAACCTGGTGACACAAGACTTGCGTACCGTTCCAGAGGGTGCGCAGTTAAAGCGCCTGCTGTAAGGTACCAGGTAAGTTCTCGCTTTGTGTTGCGGAAACTTGCGGATACCATCTGAGTTCTGTGAACACCCTAAACCCTAAACCCTAAACCCTAAACCTTCAACAGGCAAGCCCCCTTCGTTGACATCGAATGGTTGGGCCTTCAGGCCGGCGTGGACTACCGCCAAGCTGTGGACATTGCCGAGCACTTCCGCACTTGGAATGTCAAGTACGGGACAGCACATGCCCCACTAATTTTCGTGTTGTTCTGGGTGTAATCCCGAAACCCTGAACCCTGAACCCTATAAACCCTATAAACCCTATAAACCCTAAACCCTAAACCCGAAATCTTTGCAGGAATTACGACTACTACTCCTTGGCCATGGAAGTCTATGCCCTTCTTGGGCTGCGCATGACGACCTTAACCAAAATGCTCCAGTCATGGGATCCTGTACTATGCCGTCTTTGACCACCCACAACCAAAAGCGAAGCGCAAAAAGGCCGTAAATAGTACTCGCATGTCAGGTAGTGTTTCGGGCTATAGGCTTTAGAGCAGAACCTCATGGTCTCACACTCTGAATCCGCGATGAAGGACGCGCAGCTCTCCATGACGCTATTTCGGGAGTACGTGCAGAACCCCCGCAAGCTGGAGACTGCACGCAAGACCTTGCAGCAACATAAGCGCCCCGTCTTGCCTCGCACGTTGGCCGAAACCCGAAAACTTCCCCCAAATATTATTCTGAGCCATTAACAAAACTCTGAACACAGACCTTCCTCAACTTTTTGCCTCAACATACTCTCAGACAGAAGCGCCGAGCATTGAGTTTCCAGGGTTTGGAGAGCAAACGTATAGGGTTTAGGGTTTAGGTTTAGGTTGTAGGGTTTAGGGTTGAGGGTTACCCTATAATCCCTTAAAAAGGCCCTTCATAGGGTTCATTATGGGGATTATTAGGCCCAATAGCCCATCCTGGTAGGTTTAGGGCCTCTAAACGCGAGCCCGCAGTTTGGGAGCTTTGGGAAGAGCAGGGTAGGCATTTTTAGGGTTTAGGGCCTTTAGGGCCTTCAGGGCCTTCAAAGCTTCAGGGCCTTCAAGGCCTTTAGAGTTTAGGGTTTGCGCGGGTTAGGTGTTAGGTCACTCTTTAGTCTGAGATTAGCCCAAGCTCCTTTATAGCAAGGCCTACGCACCCCAAAATACCTAACACTAGAGCCCTTCGAGCCGGAAAACCCTGAATCCTAAACCCTAAAAAACCAACAGGCTTGGATGTGTAGGGTTTTCGTAGATCATTACAGAATGGCCCTTCACGTAAAATTCGAGGCTGGGATCTAACATGCAGCGTTTAGGCAGGCTCTTTACAGGGTTTAGGGCTGACTGGGCATACTTGGGAGGTATTTTGCGCATCTCCCCATGCCAGCTGGGTACAGGGCGACAGGTCACAACATCTTGCCTTCCCGGTTCAAGTACATCCTGCCTTCTGCAAACCTAATTAAGGCCCTTCCATGTCCAAACTCATAGCTTAGGGCTTCGGTGTCCACAGTCGGACTTTCTCTAGGATGCTAGGATGCCCAGAGCCTTCATTACTTTATTATTACTCTTTTTTTTTGGGGGGGGGGGGGGGGGGGGGGGGGGGTGTAGGTTCGTTTACTAGCCCCTTTAAGCCCAAAAGGGCACCCAGGTTTTTCTGGGTAAAGCCTAAACCCTAGACCCTACATAAGCCCTAAACAACTTCCTTGCTTTCCCAACCCTAAACCCTAAACGGTCTAGTTGCTGTCCCAGGTATGGCCGCAAGTTCCCACAATTCAGGGATCCAGATGCTCCCTTCATCGACGGCGTCTGCGACGGAAAGTTCAATGCCAAGCGCTGTGCCTGGGCCCCTCATAAGAACCTTTTTTAGGGTTTAGGGTTTAGAGGTTTAGGGTTTAGCAGTTTAGGGTTTTAGATATTATCAGAGCCTTTTGCTCTGTCTCTCGTTAAAAATCGCATGCCCGCCATGCACGCACACAACTAGCAAGCTTTGTAGGCATTATCTTTTCGTTTGTAACATACCGGGCCACATTCTTGTTCAAGTCAGTCCGCCCTGGCTGTTTGCTGACTACCTAGTAGATTTCGCTCTGAGCATTTCATACCCTAAACCCTAAACCCTAAACCCCAAACCCTAAACCCTAAACCCTTTTTCAGAGGGTTCAAAAAGCCTTCCCAGCTACCAAACAACAGTGCGAGGTATTTGCGGCCAGCCTGTCGTAAGTCGCTGAGAAGAGCGGTGCCCTGCCTTGGCCGAAGCATTCGGCGGCATTGGAGGATTGGGGTTTAGGGTTTAGGGTTTAGGGTTTAGGGTTTCGGGTTTAGGGTTTAGGGTTTAGGGCAGCGCAAGTATGTGTTTGTTCGCGAGTCTTCGTCCGTGGAGTGCTGGCCATGCAGCGCATTCCAGAGTTTTGAACATACTGGATGTGATGTGGTGCTGCTTTGTCACTTTGTTGTCATTGTTAGTTTATGAGCTTGTTGAGTAGCTGGCTGCTTAGTTGCGCATGGGATCCTTGCGAATAAGCAGACCCGCAAAATCCCTCAACCTTGGATTTACCCTTGAGCGGCGTAGAACTAAACCTTGAAGCCCTACTTGGAGGTTCATGGGTACTTATATAACCCCACTTATAAGTCTACTTATAACCTACTTAGGGGACTTAGGGGGTTTACAAGTGCAGTTATGATTGCAGTTATAAGTGCCCATGAACCTCCAAGTAGGGAAGTATGCCGGCTGGAAGCACCTTTCAGAACGACACTTCATGATGACAAGACAAAGAGGTGTGGCTGAACCAGACCCTCCCCCCCCCCCCCCCCCCCCCAGTTTTGAGGGTTTTCAAGGTTCAGGGCTCAGGGTACCCTTAGACTCGCATATAAAGTGTTACTTCAGTGGGGGAGAAGGGGCGTTGCAGGGAGTGTGTAGGGCTCCAAGCCCTTGCCAAGCTTGTTGAAGATGCCTCGGCGTCTCACAACCCGACGCAGACTTCGACGCCTCGGGATCAGGGCTTAGAGCTTGATTTCTGTTCCGCCTCGGGGGGAAGGAGATGCCTGTGCCGCTTTAGAAGGTTTCGAGGGCTAAGGGTTTCAGGTCTAGGGCTACACTTATGACTCACACTCAGGTCGAGGGCTACACTTAAGACTCACACGGGGCAGAGGTGCGACACTGGGATCTCCCTCCACTCATCTTCAGAGCTTGCGACGAGTATTCCGCTTGACCAGTGGCGGCTTAGGGGAGTTTGCTCTCCTCTCAATTGCTGAGGGGCGCAAATTCTCAGCTGCCCGTGCGGCGAGCGAAGAAGAGAGATGGACAGACAAACGCGCGTTGCTCGGGCTGTACCTGAAGTATCCTCCATACCCTCCCCCCCCCCCCCCCACGAAAAAATCAAATGAAAACAAAACCCCAAAAATAGGACATGCACCTTAATCACTAGCATCTTTCCCTCCTTTTTCAAAGGCATGTAAATTGCCAGGTTCCGGCTTCAGGGATTCTAGGAGGACCTTCCAAGGAGAGATGGAGTCCTTATTCACTTTAACTCTAAACCCTAAACCCTAAACCCTAAACCCTAAACCCTAAACCCTAAACCCTAAACCCTAAACCCTAAACCCTAAACCCTAAACCCTAAACCCTAAACCCTAAACCCTAAACCCTAAACCCTAAACCCTAACCCAAGCCGGACCTCGCCAGAAACCTCCCTGCAAAGATTCGGTTTCATGGGTTTGGGGGTTTAGGGTTTAGGGGTTAGGGTTTAGGGTTTAGGGTTTAGGGTTTAGGGTTGTTGGCCCCTTTTGGCCCTCTTGAGGTGGCACAAGAAGAGCAGAAAATGCCCAACGCCGAGACCGGCCCTGAGTTTGCTAGGGTTTAGGGTTTAGGGTTTAGGGTTTAGGGTTTAGGGTTTAGGGTTTAGGGTTTAGGGTTTAGGGTTTAGGGTTTAGGGTTTAGGGTTTAAGGGTTTAGTTTTTTATCCATCCGCGCTCCGGAGTCTCGAAACTCCCCTTTCCCCCCTGTCCAAAGTATCGCTCCGCCAACCCGAAAACCGTAACCCTTAACCGCCACGAACCACCAGGGTTTAGGTTTTAGAGTTTAGAGTTTAGGGTTTAGGGTTTAGGGTTTAGGGTTTAGGGTTTAGGGTTTAGGGTTTAGGGTTTAGGGTTTAGGGTTTAGGGTTTAGGGTTTAGGGGGGCCATAAATAATCCCTACACCCTAACCCCTCAGCCCTAAACCCTAAACCTTTTTCAGCCTAAGCCTGAACCCCAAACATGCCATGAACGACAGGGAGGGGAGAGCGGAATCCTTAAAAGACCTCACCCTATGGACCCTACACCCGAACTCCTACACCCTCAACCCACCATGCAGTATGGTCAGGGGGCAGGCCCTAAACCCTAAACTCACCAGGAACCACCGTATGGGGGTTTCCGCAAATGGGGGTAGCCATTTTGGGGGGTCCCTTTAAGAGGATTCTATTCTATTTGTGGTATCTTAGGGGTAATTGCCCAAGTACATATATGGGGGGGGGGGGGGTGGAGGGGGGGGGGGGGGGGGCGTGATGCCCCGTGGGGGTGGTGGGCAGTGCTGCAATGGTTTCTCTTGCGTTGCAGGTATACTCGTCTGGGTGTTTGTGGCGCTGGTGTATGGGTTTTGAGTTTAGTTTTCGTGCTCCTGCAGGTGAAACATGTTCACTCATGTGCTGAATGTCGTGACGCCTACTGACACTTCTCGATAGCACAGAATGACCGATACCCTCGCCCCATTGACAACACTTTGGATTGTCTTATGGAATGCAGCTGCGCCTCGAAGCCCGACCTGACACTCTGTTTGCCTACTTTTTAGTAGTAAGTACCCTTAATTCGGAAGTTTAACCTTCAAAACTGCAGGTAAAGTGGGTCCCAGGTAAACCCCGACAAGCTGTACAGCCTTACGGGTACACTTGCTGTAGAACAACACATTCCGGCATGGCAGCAGAGGCATTTCTCCATGGATCAGCAAATGCCGAGAAACGTCACGAACCGAAGCCAAAAAACTAAGTAGGGTAGCCCTAAACCCTAAATCCGAAGTAGGGTAGCCCTAAACCCTAAATCCGAAGTAGGGTAGCCCTAAACCCTAAACCCGAAGTAGGGTAGCCCTAAACCCTCGAACCCCACACCAACGCGAGCTGCGGGCTGAAGCGCATCTGTGACCCTCAACCCCCTTGTTCTTCGTAGGGAATCAGGGAATGAGGGCCCTATGTGTACCCCTTCAGGGATTATATAGGGCCCTATGTATACCCTTTCAGGGATTATATAGGGCCCTCATTCCCTCATTCCCTACTATAAGAACCAGCCAGTCAACCTTGACACCCGGAAAAGCGGCTGCAACCTTAGAGGTTTAACGACAGCGCCAGACCTCCCTGAACCTCCCTGGAGTAATCCTTTCCACACCTCAACCCACGTCCTGCGCGTGATGTGCCGTGTCACGC